CATCGATGTCTTCACCATCTTCATCGTTAGGCCAGTAATAATACCAGTCCTCAGTAGTGCTCTCAAGAGTAGGCAAAGACGTGGTGACGGGGTAACTGAGGTCTTTTGATCTTCGTCTCCTGTCACTGAATGATTTGTTTTGTGCTTCTGAGTCAGAGAAGTTTTCCAGAAGCCGAGCAAATAATGAAATGAATGAGAAAAGTCAACAAAGCATTTCAAGGGCGCCTGAATAAGCCCCACTCACACAGGGAAAACGTATCAAATAAGCCAGTTTTCTGTAACCTGCGATCAGGAGTTTCCTTCTTCGGGAAAAGGATCTCGAAATTCGCAAGAACTAATGATTTTGGCTGAGGAATCAAGCCCGCCGTGAAGCTGTACTACTACTGGATCTCTTCGAACAAAAACAATGGCGTATATTAAGTTTTTTTTATTACTATTACAGTTTGGTGAAGATGAAATTCCTTTATAGCCCTCACTGCCCTAATCAATATGAGGATGCGGCGGAAATTGCTATCAATTCTATGACTGACTGTACCAGAGATACTCGGAACTGGATGATTTCAGATAACCTTATGTTACATGACGATAAAACAAAATTTTTGGTTCTAGGTACTAGGTAGCAGCTGGCAAAGGTTAACATCGAGTATTGGGGTTGGGTCGACCGATGTATGTCCTGTAACGGTAGCTGGAAACCTAAGCTCATCATGTTCGATGAGCAGCTCTTTATGTCAACTCATATTACCAAGTTATGCGGTGTTGCTTTCAGTACCATTTTCACAATATCAAACGTATTCGCAAGTATTTGTCTCAAGAATCGACGGAAATGGTTGTCCATGCATTTACATCTCGTGTTGATTATTGTAATAGTCTTTTGTCTGGGCTGCCCAACTACCACCTTATGCAGAGAGTTTTGAACGCCTCTGCCTGCAGGCGTAGTTTGTAACGCGCCAAGGTTTTGCCACATTTCACCCTGTGTGATTTGCACTGGTTACTTGTTAAAGCTCGGATACAAAGCAATTCACGGCCAGTTGTCTGTGTGATTTATTAATATTTAAATCGTCTTTAACCTTAGATCTCCAGTATTTTACTTTCTACGCCAGCTGTTTGATTGAAGAGTACGTTGGGTGACAAAGCTTTCATCAGGCAGCAGTGCCCACGCTCACAGTGGAACTCTTTTCAAAAGAACTTCGTGCGATTACTAGTGTCAACAGTTTTAAGGCGCATCTTAAGACATCTTTTTAGAACTGTACATCGGTGATGAATTATTACTTCTTTTTGTCTGTTTCTGTATTTGGACCGAAATGTTTTTCCTATAGACCCCAATTGACTCGGGATTGGAAAAATGAACCCTT